CTTTTTTGAGAGATAGGATCCTATCATATGCATGCAATGTTTGCGATATGCATCCTATAATACTATTTCAATTAATTTTTCAAAAGGATTAACCCAAGTGCTTGAGCTTCTGATGAGCTTCTGACGTTATGTGCTTTCGTCGACAGGGATAGGCTATACCCATTTTGCCGTCTCGATTTTACTGTGACCGAAGAATGATTGTGTTGATTTCAGAGTGACTTGCCATGTCAGTGCGCCCCTCCCTTTCCTTGGGGATGTCAATCCTCCTATTGACAACTATCTCCACATTTCCCTACTAATTACTAGAATGATGTAGTAGTAAGGGTCAAGAGAAGAGAAAGAAGAGGATATTTAATTCAATGGCTTGTGTTTTAGATTTGTTTTATTTTGACAAAAAGGGTTTTTGTAAGCACGGCTAGCCAAGGTTGGTTAGAGTGTTTAGGCTATTTTAGACAAACGTTTTGTTTATGGAGTGACGTCTTATTCTATGGCGCTTGTTATGACTGATTGACTTCCCTAGTCTGCCCTTTGGGTTTTCAGCTTAGGATATTGTGTTTTGTTTTGTCCTAACTTTTGTCTAGGTTTCTTTTTTTTCTTTTCTTCTCTTTTTTTTTTGGGTTTGGGAAACCTAGAAGACTTTATTTTGTAACCCTAGTTTTTGCCTAGGCTACCCTTTATGGTTGTTCGGGTTTCCTAGCGGGTTTACCCTAACTTTTGCATAGCCCCCTTGGTGGGTTTCCTACCGGGTATCTTGCATTTTCTTTTTGGCCTTTAGCTTTTATGGGCTTCCTTTGATTTTTGTTTTCTTTTTGCACAACATTGGCAAAACACGACTTTACTTTATTTTGTGCTTCTAGTCAATCAGTTGGTGATGAATTTGACTTTTATTTTGGTCGATGGCGCATTTTGATTACTTTGACGCACTTTTGAAAACGTTTGCTTAAACATGGTTATTAATGAGGTTTAGACATGAATAGCGAGAATAGAAGCAGATAGTAAGAATGACATTCTTTGTAATTAATAGGGAAATGTGTGCCCTACAATGCTCGGGGGTCGGGATAGCCTCGAGGAGTAATCTCTAATAGTCATTGGATTTACAAACCCTAAGAATCAGAAGGAGAACACCTAATGACTAAAGCTGCTTTTGACGCTTGAACCCCTCTGATTGGGAAAATCTGATTCAAGGTGCGGAGGGGAGACTTCCCTTTTCTCCGTGCAGCTTGTTCCTTTGTAGGATTATGCTTCAAAGGATTGTCTTTAAAATCTGGTGGCTCCTTTATTCCTTGAGAGTTTCTAATGAGCCCTTGGTCTGGGCGATATCCATATTTTCTCATCATGTGGGTCACCTTCATATTGTTGGGGAAGTCTTTTCATATTGGCAAAAGATATTTCAAAGGTCTTCTTCCGCCGCATCCATTCAAGGTAGGGCAGATGATTTGCTAATCTGAATGTCGTCTCTAGCTCAAACTATGACTAGCTTGTCGCCTACCCTGAGTTTATCTCTTTGGCGGAGCGTCGAAAGAATTGCCTCAGCGTCGTGAATCCAAAGTCTCTTCAATTTCCTCTTTGGATTATGTTTCCTTCGATCTTATTTTTTCCTTTATTTTTGGGAGCATTGTCTTGTAGCTCCTCGGGGGTGTAGGTTCTTCCATTTCTAATTCTGCCCCCGAATGCCGGCTATGCTGGAGATATCTTCATTAATGGAAGATGTTTCTGCGTATCTCAATGGTACAATTGTATGGGGTGAACGAATGTAACGACATCCTTGCCCCCTCTCCTTTATTTACTCAGATGACCAACGGTTGAGGCTTATTATCCTCCTTAGGCGGATCAACCGTTGGGAAAAAACTTGATGACAAAATGTTTGCTCTTCATCTTATTCTGATTCGCGGAAAGCACATCGACTAATCCTTTCTTTTTATTATCTTATTATTATTAAAGTGAGAATGAATGCAATTTATGAATGCAATAGACGGTTGAGACAAACAATTTTATTTATTTCATCTAGACAGTGTACATTCCTCAATACAATGTTTCGAAGTACATTTTTTTTTCAAAATGGAGAAGCTTAAGTGAACCCATAGGCAGGTTAGAATTTCTATTTATTTTCTTTTTGACTTCTCGTGCATGGCATGCGAATCCTCTTTTCATGGTATTGAGGAATATCCACTTCTTCGATTGTCTATTATTAGATGCATGTTATGAGGATGAAGTTTGGTGAATGCATGTATGCAAGTGTTTGTTTTTTCCTAAACATTATCATGTTTTATTTTCTAACATGATGTATGATAGTGTTTGAGATTTTGTGTTGTTGTTTTTTTTTGTATGCGGATGAGGGCATGAAGAATACCAGCCGCTTTTTAGAATGCAAAAAGGTTTTTATTGAATGATTTATGAGATGGATATTCCTTAAGACAATGGTTTAGGTATCCTCCTTAAAGCTTATGCTTTGTGGGGTATCCTACCCTCCTCGGTGTAATGGTTCCTTTCCCATCACAGACTTGACAAGTATAATGGGGGTCACCATCGCACCTTAGTACATTCATTCCTTCCTTGTCGCGAAGGTCATAGATGTGCTCGGGGCCTCTTTCGCCATTGTCTTAGGGATATCTAGTGCTCCCTAGAATAAATGTATTTATGCATGCACCAGTACAAAACGGCAGTAGATGTTCAAAGTGGCATAACTTTTGACTGGGTTGTCCGATTTGGACGCACAGCATGTCAAAACGAAGAGAAAAGGGTGAAGAACCAAGTTGGAAATTGCCGAAGGCGATTTGGCCCAGTAATTTTCCCAAAAAACGTCTCTAAGACCCATTTTTTAGGGGTTTATTAAAATGATGCGTATGCATACTTTCCTTATGCATTCATTTTCTCTCTTCGTTTTTCCACTTATGACATGATGCGATATGAATGATACGACTTTGTCAAAATTCTTTTTATAAACGTTTTGATTTTGTTATTATTATTTTATTTATTTTGGATTTATTTTATAGCCTTTTATCTCTCCTGTCGGACTGCGTGGCTACTTAGCTTACAAAGAACCCGAAACCAGGCTAGCTAAAAGGCAGACTATCCGAGATAAAATATGGCTTTATGCGAAAAATATTTAGCGTCCCTTATCTCTTCTGTCGGAACTGCATGGCTACTTAGCTTACAAAGAACCTGAAACCAGGCTAGCTAAAAGGCAGACTGTCCGAGATAAGGGTGTTCTGTTGTTTGTTTATGCTATGCAATCAAATGCAACAAACAAATGCACATATAGTTTGATCATCCCCGAACAGGAGAGATTTCGTTTTTATCACGAGGTAGGGTTTTCCTGCAGAAAAGTGCATTGGCGAGGGTTGGTTCTAACTGTTCTCACCAGGCTAAGGCCCCCAAGGTGCCCCCATTATAGGGTCCCCACTCTCCAGCCGTCCAACCATGCTCAGCACTAAGGCCAGAGTCGGTCTTGTTGCCAAAAGAGGAAGGTTATCACCTTGAGTGGTGGTTTCCGATCACACTGGTGGGCACAAGGCCCTAACTGCAGCAAACCGTACCTGCCACCCACTCCCTATGGTTGATCTCACTTGCCCCCGGGTATAGAGGGAACTGTAGTGTGCAAAGGTTTGTGTACAATTTATATTTCAATCAATTGCGTAAGTATAAACAAGCAACAGTTATTTGAAAGCCAAACAATAAAGCATGTTATAATACAAGGCAGGGTAAAAGCACTATTTTCTTGGTTTAATTATTTTTAAGTCAGCCCGTCACTAAATGGGATCAACTCTCTAGGCTTCCCCAGTGGAGTCGCCATCTGTCGCCGCCGTCAAAAGGAGAGGCGGTCGGAGCGACGCGATGGTTTTTCGACCCTTTTTTATTTTTGCGTTTTTTATTGGTGGTTACAACGCCTTTAGGTTGTCCGATAACCGGGCTAACCTAGGGGCGAGGTTTTCGAAAGTATCCCTGAGTTGTCCGATAACCGGGCTAACCCAGGGACTTATTTAATTTGGGTTCTATGGAGTCGCCACCGATATTTTTACCATAAACATCGGAAAAGGGGTTTTAAAAAGGCGTTGGTTTTCGAAAACCAACTTTGGTCATTAGAACCAGAGTTGGGTAAGGGAGTTAGTTACGTGTAAAGGAAGTGTTAGTTCCTTTACGACGCCCCTTTCGGGTTCCCTATGATAGGCCGACTAATTTTGAATAAATAATTAAACTGGAAAGTTGCGCTTTTACCCTTTTATTATGCGGAATTTAAGTTTATGACTATATGGCCCTAGCTTTTATTGCGTAATTTAAATGGCAATAAAAATAGAGAGGGAGAATATGCACCTCCAAAGCAAGCTTTTATATTTCTTTAAAAATAGGGTGCGTTTTGGCAACCCTTCACTCTTACAACTCTCAGAAACTCCGGAAATGCCTCGGAGGGATTCTAAAGAAGATTTAGAGCGCTCAGTTTATGCCTAAAGACACTCAGAAACTCCGGAAATGCCTCGGAGGGATTCTTAGAGAGAGAAAGTCTAGAGAGAAGGGAGAGCTATGTTGTTTCTGTGTGGAAATGAGGGGGGGAGGACCCCTATTTATAGGTTTTCGCGCCTGATAGTGGCGAGACCGCCGGTCTCGTCTGACAAGGTCGAGACCGCCGTATGGAAAATCCAGACCGCCGTCTCGACCACAGCAGGGGTCGAGACCGCCGTCTGGAAAACCCAGACCGCCGTCTCGACTTTTGCAAGGGTCGAGACCGCCGTCTGGAGAACCCAGACCGCCGTCTCGACTTTTGCAATGGCGAGACCGCCGTCTGGACAAGCGAGACGGCGGTCTCGTCCCTGAAGTTAGCCAAGACGGCGGTCTAATATTTCCAGACGGCGGTCTCGTCCCTTCAGGCGCGAGAACTTTATTTTTCGGGCCAAAAAAACCCTCCTATCTTAGTACGGGGGCCTAATAGTCTCTCCTAGTGGCTTGTTAGGCTTCGACCGTCTTCAAATAGGAAGTTTTCTGACTTTATTCTGAGGCGGGGCAAGATTTGGGGTCTACAATGCAGATCGAATGTTTTCTGATATTTCTGCTACATGGAATGGAGTTCTTGAGGACATGAGTGATGTGAAGGAATTGGTATACATTTACTAACTTACAACAGAATGATTGATTTTCTTGAATGGTTGTACATTAAATTTCTTTGCAATTGCATGTTAAAGACTTCTAGTTTCCCTTAGCAACTTCAATGTTTTTAGTACTTATATTTTTACATGCTTTTAATAGGTTTCTTGAAACTTATATTTTAAGCTTTTCTTTTTCCTCTTATAATGTTAAATTAGGTTCCTGAGCTATTTTACCTCCCGGAGGTCCTCACAAATGAAAATTCAATTGATTTTGGCACAACACAGTTGGGAGGAAAGCTCGGTATACTCATTGAGATTTTCTCCATTTTCTTTTTAAGAAGACAATTAGTTACATGTATGTGCATATTAAAGTTATTTCTGCTTGTGTATTACGATTGCCATGCCAGATACTGTAAAACTTCCTGCTTGGGCTGAGAGTCCAGTTGATTTTGTGCACCAGCATAGGATGGCTCTGGAGAGCGAGTATGTATCTGCTAATTTGCATGAGTGGATTGATCTCATATTTGGGTAGGCTTTCTTCCTACTTTCAGTTTCTCCCCAATCTTTTGGAGTCCAATCATACTTCAAGGCTTCTTTCTGTTTATTCATGAGTCTTAGTTTTTCTAGCATTTTCAATGTAGATATCTATAATATTCCTTTTTAAATTTCCATATGGTTATATTAAAAGGATTTAACCATGCAGGTATAAACAACAGGGCAAAGAGGCTATTGCAGCAAATAATGTTTTCTTTTACATTACCTATGAAGGGACAGTGGATATTGATAAAATATTTGACCCAGTATGTCTCTGTTCATCTTCATATTTTCAATTCATCTTGTTGTCTATGTAACATGAAATTCCAACTCCCTGAAACAAAATATGAAAATATCCTTAAATCAATTATCATATCAGAACTACCTTTGGTTGAAGGATTAAAGTACATGATAATTATAGTTTTGCTTGTCACTTGTATGTGTGATTGTTACATAATTGCTATTATACATGAACTTGACTGCTTAAGCATGATATAAACAAGGCAATCCTTGTGACCAATACAAGTTGCAGAGAAACTGAGGAAAATAGAAAAGATTAGATGCGGAAAATATCCATTTCTCTTTTTGGGTAAAAGATGAGATGGAAAAATAATCCCTTGTGCCATTACTGTCTATATGTGAACTTCTTAATGAAAGAAAGAAAGAAAGATATATTGATACTAAAAGAAAAAGAACAATCGAGTAATACATGTAATTCTCTGTTACAAAGATGAGATGGAAAAATAATCCCTTGTGCCATTACTGTCTATATGTGAACTTCTTAATGAAAGAAAGAAAGAAAGAAAGATATATTGATACTAAAAGAAAAAGAACAATCAGTAAGACATGTAATTCTCTGTTACAAACCCATTAGACAGAAAATTAGGAACTGTTTTTGTAACTAAATTACAACCGACAGTAAAACATAAAAGGGTAATATACCTAACAAGAGAAATATCTCTATACCACTCCGACAAGCTCTCCAGATGGGTGAGATACATCATGTAGATCAACCACTGTGAGCTTGGATACGAGAAAAAGAAATCTTGTAGTATACAGCTGTTTAGTAAGAATATCTGCCATAAGATCATGACCTAGAATATGTTTGTTGAACAACAAGTTGTTTAGCAAGCACTCTCTCTTGAACAAAGAAAATATCATGTTCCTTATGTTTTGTCTTTGCATATAGGATGGGATTAAGAGAGAGATTAACTGCATTGAGATTATACCAATACACAATCGGAACACAATAAGGTATAGCAAATTCACTATGAAGTGTTTGAATCCAAAGAAGTTTGGTGGTGACTGAGGCAAGGCTCCAATATTCTACCTTTGTACTAGATAGCAACAACAGTTTTCTTACGAGACCTCCATGAAACTAAAGTAGGACCAAGAAAAATTGCAACTCTAGAGCTAGACCGACTCATCTAGGTCAACAGCCCAGTCTGCATCACAAAAAGCTTTAATCATTATAGATTGATTAGCAATAGTTAGAATAACTTGTATACCACAATGAAGAGTACCTTTAGATATCTAAGTATTCATTTTATCGTGGTCCAATGGGATTCAAGAGGAGCTGCCATAAACTGACAGATTTTATTAACAGAAAAACACATCTCGACTCAGGTGATTGTGAGATATTGAAGAGCACCCACTACAGATCTGTAAAATGAAGGATCTAACAATAAATAAGAACCTTGTTTAGAAAGTTAAATCATAGGAGAAGAAACTGGCTTAGCCTCAAGCATGTTAGTCTTAGAAAGATCTTTAATCTATTTTGAGTCGTAAGGAGAGACCCATTGGATTGAGGACAAACTTCTATACCAAGAAAGTAATCGAGATTACTAAGCTGCTGTTTTAGAGAAAAGATCGAATCGATTTTGTGAATAAAACTCTGAAAAAAGGAGAGTTTCTTGTGGTAAACTTCTATATCACCAGAAGAATTACGAACTCTGACCTTAGTTGTCTCGCTTTCGTTCTTGTTTGACGATGAAAATAGGAATGAATCTTCTTCCAAACTTCATAAGAATAGATACACACAAGAACATGAGCAAGAATTACTATTGTAACCAAGCTAACAACATGTGATCTTGTTGTTACCAAACAAGATAATATGAATTCACGTGATCAAGAAGATCTTGATCCAAAATAAAAGGGAAAGAATTTTCCGAGCTACAAGAAAATGATGCATAAAATGTTGAGGCCATAGCAAGAAATTATTGTCATCGAGTTTCTGTAAACTATGATGAGAAACTGTGACCAGAGTTTGTGCTGGACCAAGATGAAAGAACCACTATCACTGGAAGTAGTGTGGGTTTGCAAGGGTGTTGCCCGAGTGATTACAGGTGGTGGAGGGGAAGGTGGTAGAATGGTTTTTGAAGCCATAGATCATATTTCTCTTATACCATATTAAAAGAAAGAAAGATATATTGGTACTAAAAGAAAAAGTACACTTAGTAATAAATCTAGTTATCTATTAAAATCAGTAATATATGCTAAACAGAGAATTACAAAACATAAAAGAGAAATATCTCTAACATGGGTGATATAACGCAAATTTTATGACTTAAAAAATGGAAGATTTATGCACTATTAATTTTAATGTGGAGTACATTTTTGCAAAAATACTAAAGTCATATTAAAAGCATCAGACCTCAACAAATAATTTATCCATGTTTTTGTAACTTGTTACTCCTCCTCTGCATGATAAGTAAAGGTGCAACAGCATGCCACACAAGATCAGATTGCTTATTTTGGACAAACACCATCCCAACTTCTTACTATTCCACACTTGAAGAAGAAACCGCTATCAGAAGTTCTGCATTTGCAGGTAACCTCGATTGAATTGATTTAACAGTAACACCTTTATTAATACAAGCATCTATGTTTGCTTCCCTGTCTTCTTACCCTATGTTTTTTATGGATTTCTGTAATCATCAGGCTAATTGATAATTCATGGTTTGCCATTAGCCATGCATGTATAATGGCTGTTTTTCACAATTTTGGTTTGTCATACGAAGAGAAAAAACAACTACATTTCTTTTTTACTAAATTACTCGCTATTCATGAACTCATGCAAAAAATACAATTGGGGATTAATGATACAAAAAATAGAACCACAGAACCCGAGAATCCCCCATTATTCCAGGTGTCCTCGCTCAAGCGACGTCTTTTTTCGCTTGAGCGACACAAGATAGCGGTTAATAAGAACCGCTTTTAAAAATATATATTAGATAGCGGTTAGTGGTAAACCGCTGTCTAACGTATGTTTATAATAGCGGTTTTTATATAACCGCTCACTTGCGGTTAATAAATGTAGTTTAGATAGCGGTTGGTCAAATAACCGCTATCTAAAGTCATATATGTCAATTGGATAATAATCGATCATAATTTTCGATAACCGATTATAATTGAGAATGATCGATTATAGTTGGAGAACATCGATCATAGTTTGTGCTAAGCGATTATAGATTTACATAATTTCGCTCTGCATCTCTCTCGCCGGCGCACGCAAAAGAAACGTTCGTTCTCTCCCGGCGTTCGTTCGTCGATGTTTAATATTGGGTTCTGTTCATTTGGTTTAGGGTTTAATATGGTTGTTGATTTCGGTTTTGAATTTAAATTTGATGGTTTAATCGATCATACACCACTTATAACCGATCATCATAACGTTTAATCGATTATAACCTAAAATAATCGATCATTTTATCTGATTTTTCTAAAATCGCTCAAGCTAAATTCACATCGCTCGAGCGACGCCACCTGCTAAGATTGGGGGTTCTCGGGTGTGTGTTTCCCTTGAGCGAAACTGATAGCTGATTCACTTCTAAGAGCGGTTAATATATTGAGCGCTCTTAAAAGTGGACATATAATAGCGGTTCCAGGTTAACCGCTATGTAAAACATCCTATTTTAGAAGTGCTCTCTTTAGTAGGTTTAGATAGCGGTTCTGGGAACCGCTATCTTAAGTCCCAATTAAAAAAAAAATTATTTAAATTTTGAAATTCCAATTCTTTTTTCTCATAATTTGTACCTGATACACCACAATTTCAGGGTATATTTCAAATTAATCTAACAAAATCCAGCCAGCATACAATATATTTGTACTTGATTGTCGGGTTGTATTTCGCTTCAGCGACACTCTTCTCACTCGAGCGATATCTGATTCAAACATGTGCTCACCCATGTTACATTATGCGGCTAACTTTGTTCGACGTATAGCCTACAGTCAACAACCGCTCAAGCGGGTTCTTGAGTCTTGGATCTATTTCAAAGAACATGACATAAGATGTTCAACCTAATTTTACTTAAGTCTTAGGTGCTTGATGATAATCAAGCATGATGAATTGTGAGTCCAGTTCTAAGTATAGAATTGTTATTAGCATGGATGTTCACTTTGTGGAAGATGAAGAATGGAATTGGGAATATAAAACGAAGACAAATTTGGAGTTAAACCTTCTACCTCAAACACAAAATAAAATGAAGATGAAAGCTATTGCAAAATGAATTAGTGGATGATGTTCTAGTAAGAGATACCATATTGTCATCTCAAATTTATGAAAAATGCAATGTTTCTACGTGCAAACCTGCAAATTATGAAAAAGCAAAGAAATTTTCAAATTGGATGGCTACAACAAAGGAGGAGTTATCAATGATGGAGACAAATCAAAATTATATTCTTGTGGAAAACATCAAGGTAGAAAAGTAATTAGAGTTAGGTGGGTGTTAATTAAGCTATATGTTCGCGGGTCTATTAACAAACACAAGATATGACTCATGGTAGAAGGTTATGCATATATTTTTTTGTATAAACTATTTAGACACGTTTTACCGATCGTTCGATTTGACACCTTTAGATTGGTACTTAGTGTAGTTGCTCAGAAATTTATCAACTTAATGTTAAATCAACTTTTTAAAATAGTTTCTTACAATAATAAATATATGTTGAATAATCCCAAGACTATGAAGAAAAAAGAAGAAGATAAGGTTTATTTAGTTAAAGAGATTCATTTGTAAAAAAAAAATAATCCAAGGAAATTTTGAAGAAATTCGAATTTGAAGAAGAAAAAGAAATCAACACTAATCAAAAGGAAAAGTTGTGCAAGGAAAATAGAACTGAGAAAATAGACTAAGTATATTTCAAAAGTATAATTGGGTGATGTCTTCTAAGTCAAGTTACACCTTACTTAGGTCTTCAAAGCATATTGTCATTCTATAATTGTGATGTCTTCTAAGTCAAGTCAACTTTGAAGTTAAAATATTGAATCACTTCAGTTTGTTTATGTTATGTTATGTTTATGTATGACCGGATACATGAATTATATTGGCAAAGTATGACATTGGGTGGTTGTAATGTAAACAATTAGAAATCAGCCATTTGTGCAATTTATCAGATTTTATTCGTATAATAACCGTTATTAACAAGTAAGGTTCGTATCATAAACAGAAATACATATGTAAAAAAACAGAAATACAGTACAATTATATAATTGAGTCAGAAATACAGAAATGTCAGGAGTCATTAATAATTGAGGTCAGCAATACATATGTAAAAAAACATAAACAGAAATACATATGTAAACAAGTAAGGTCAGCCTTAATTATATAATTGAGTCATTAATAATGAATGTCAGGAGTTAATATATATGTAACAAAACAGAAATAAAGTACAAGGTGATAAATTACATTAACGACCAATACATGGTCACCTACACTAAATTACTACATCGCCACCTACACTAAATTAGTACATGTGCTCCTCCTCAATCTTCACCACTTTCTTCAGAGTCGGTCAAATTTTCATCATCATTATCATCGTCATCTCCTGAAGACATGCTTGTATCGTCTCCTTCATTTGATGGTTCCACTTCACCTCTGTGTGAAAAATCAGGGTGGTCCCCAGGCCATTGGACAAGTGCACGAAACTCATCTACGGTAGGCCAAGGTACCGGACTATGCGTGCTTATAGAATATCTCGTGGAAACTTTCATTCAAACCGACCGACCCCTATGGATGGCGGCTTGTTGACTTTGAACATGTGTCATGTGCACCTCCAATCGGCGCATGTAATCGGTTAAGTCGATTGTGGTTGTGGTTGCGAGGAGGAGGCTTCCCTTTGTTCACTTGTACGATGTGGTTGGGGCCGGGGTGCCTGTACTTGCCGCTCAAGGCGATTTACACAATATTTATCAACGAATTTCATATCAATAGGTGGCCTGATTTTGTGTGATGGGTTGACATCTACCCCATTTGCTGCACACAGGGCTGTGATCAAGGAAGGGAAACCCAAAGCCTTTGCTTGTCCAGTCTGTGGTCCGCTTTCTGCATCACAAATTGGTGGATCTCCTTAGAAATTAAGCCGGCCACATCAAGGGAATATCCATTCAAAATGCGAGTAAACCATGTAACATCTCGCCATGTTAAGATCGTAGCCGTGTTTGAGGGGTACAATGTTGGCTAACAAAAAGAAGTCCAAATTTGTGTTATTGTGGTCATATTTGGCCGCAGGATCCTCAATGGTTTCCCAGCATGATTTGTCTCATAGGTCCTCCCCGGAATACACAAAAGTTGGGCTACTCGCATCATTGTCAAATTTTCTTTCGTTAAGCCCCTCGCTCCGCGTATCCTTTCATATGTACATATTTCACCCTCATTCAATTCCATGGGACTCCCAAGAAATTCATTTATTGTGTCCCGGTCATAAGATATCCACTTTCCCCTAACCTTTGACCTTTTTTGGTGACATCCTTCTTGAGAAGGCCAAGCATTGGCATAAAATTCTTTTACCACATCGGCATCAAACTTCGACGCTGGTTCTGCAAGTATCCTCCATTTTCTTCGTGTAATCTCATTATTAAATTCAGTATATTCTCCTTCTTTCGGTTCCACTCGCCGTTCAGCGTTGAAGTTCCAACCTTGCATCATCTCATACCTCTGCTGGGTATGCTCATCTATGAAGATGTTCCTGTTGAAAACGGCAGCCAATTCACCCCTTCTAAATCTTTTCCCACGACCTCCGGAAGAGGTAGCCACTTGTTTGTCCTTTCTCGGTCCCATCGGCAACACTTGTTTGTTAAAAAGTTTAACACAAGATAATTTGAAGATCTCTATAACTGCTAAAAAAGATTCTGCAATAAATAAGGACGAGTCCACGATATAATATACATGATGTAATACAGGACAAAAGAAGAAGAACAAACAGAATAAAGAAAAAAAAAGGGAACATACCGTTCAAGCATATGATATAATATTGTAAGCAAGAATAACTATTAAAAGTTGAATGAATGTTATCGGTGTATTTCTACATTAATTTTGAAGACAACTTTTTCATCATATCAATAATATAGTGATCTTCAACGGAAATTTACATATCAACTATTACATATCAAACACGACATGCAGTAAGTAGGATGGTGTATGAGGCAAATGAAAGACTGAGGGACCTTGTGTATGGCTGTGTATGGGCCATTTAATCTCTTCACCAACATATTGATGTGTTGCAGACCAAGCCACCTAGGGTAATTCAATGTGGTCATGCATGCAACCATCTCCTTTAAATTATATTCATATTACAATACACTAGTTTACCTGCTTACATCATGCAAAGATACAAAACCAAACACAAGTTTAGGAGGCATTATGAACCGTATTACAAAGCCTAACCTAAAATTTAGCCACGAAAGTGCCTATTTTATGTAGCTAAAATTTAACCCTATTCATTGTGCCATTTGATCAAACAGTTGGTGACCAGATTTGTATATTGTAACCCAACAAGTGGAAAAACACTTTCAACACCACTTTCATAACAAACTATTTACAAATTAAACAGCTAACGAACCAATTATTCAGCAAAAAATTCATGAAAATTGTAGACTAACATGAACATAGGCACAAAACGAGAAGAATGCACTTACTTGAACCGTAAAAATGCAGCTTAGGAAAACGATAGAT